TCCGACATTAAACAGAGCCCGACAGAGGAGGGAGGGGCGGGGAGGCTCTGCCGTGCAGCGCAGCTGTCCTGCGTCTGACCTCAAAGTGCACAAGCTTCAAACTTCAGCGTTGGCTGCGATTTTGAAACTGAAATCGCGTTCGGTGTGAACGCACCATTACGCTATGACCGCAGGAGAAACGAGGTCCAGACTCAATGARCTTTTGTGCGTCCTCACCTGTCGCCTCGCTGCGTTCACCATGTGCCGCGGCGCGCGCTCCTCCCGCTGCAGCCGACAGAACGCGCCATCACATAAACATGTAAACAGTTTGGCGTTTTTTTTCACACACCCGAACCAGGTCCGGATAAGTTTTTTTTTCCCCCTCTTCATTTGCGCTCTCAGCCACGCTRCTTCCTGCTTCCTCTGTTTTGACTCCAGCCGGTTGCGTCATCAAAAACAACTGCGCGGTTGGCCAGTAGACTACAGATCTCTATCATAGGACAAACTTATATCGTTTCTACCATATATCGTTTATATTGTGCATTCCTATACTCAATATGTGATGTACCCTTATTCTGGACTATTTGAGKTTGGAAATGGTTGCCGTGAACTAAAAAAAGTTCTCACAGGAGCTCTTTGTACAGTATTTGAGGAAAGAACAAAAAAAAAAAGAGAAATCTATAGAAGACATCATTTGACTAAAGATCCTTTTATGGTAATACAAATATCTACACTAAATCCATCCAAGTGAAGAACACTTTCCTTGAGGTGAGGATGTTGTTTTTCAAGTTAGCAGAAGACATAACTAGAGCAAATACAAACTCTCTGAAAGGCCACATCAGACATCCTCATTATGCCAGTGTGACTGCCTGTGGCTGTTCAGACTCACCACACTGAGGCAGTCAGTGGTGCCAGTGTGTGTAACATAAAACAGAAGGAGCTGGATAAATTTGGAAGATTATAACGGTCATGCTGTCTGCTCAGATTCGGCCAAATGCAGCAGAGTTGAGAGAACATCACAGACAATAGACAAAAAAGTCAAAGAAGCCACAGAGGCATCCTTGAACGTAAAAAGGAAAAAGATTATGTAGCTGCAGCGAGCGCTTTATAAACACTCTTCTCTTTTTCACAGAGCATTGGGCCTCATGCAAGAACCGTTCGTACGAACAGATTTGTTCTTAAGTTGTGCGTACGAGTGATTTTTTT